GAACGAATGAATCGATCTCAGAACGTTCTTTCTCCAATCTTCGTGTCAGAGACCACAGTGCGCACCAGAAATATCACAACACGATTGGACGAAGACAGTAGTAGACATGGACTGTAAAATATGTGTCATTCAGTAGCAATGACCCATCTACGCTGCATTAGCGTAAAATCAATACTGCAGTGCTTGAGGTCAGTCATTGATTCGCAACACTATTAAGTATCGTACTATGAAGTACGAAAATCGTGGTAATTGTATTTAAGAGCAAGTAGGACCCTGTTGTGTTTCATCACGATAGAAAACCGGGACCAACTACCGCGTACCACAGTACGAAATTACGTACTAAAGTACTTGGAGTGTTCTCGTATCGTCAGGACCATACGTACTCGTACCAGTTGCAAAAGTGGGTATGGTATCGAAATGTTACTGGCCTTGCTTGTACCTTGATTGCGTTAGCTCCGGAGCTTTGAACGAATGGATGTCGATCGTGTCTGGGTCCTGAGGAGCATCTTGGACCACAAATTTTTTTCTACAATCAATTATTTAAGGTTATTACTACTCAATGGTCATGTGGACCATCCCTTTCAGACCTGTCATAGATCGCTTATTGGGTAACTCAACGGAAAAGCTCATTTTTCAATCATTTTTCAAATGTTTACAATGATTAAAAAATATCATCTACTGTAAAAAAAGTGTCAGTTATCGTAACATTTTATGCTCTTGTGCTATGACATTTTTGAAAATAGAATACTCTTGTTTCACTCGTAATACATAATAATTTAGGTCATTGCTGAGGTTCGGCATACGCGTTGAATGCTTCAACGTGTCCTTAATACCATAAATAAAAAGCCACTACCAAGTAAAATTCCTCAACTTCATACATTCAAAAATAGTGAAGAGTGTWAATCGAGAGAACTGAACCACTCAAGCAGATCAGTAAGGACTACTCTAGAACACGAAAACAAAACCCGTTTAAAAAAATGGTCATTTCATTTTTTTCAGTGGTACAACTAAATTGAACGAAAACAACGTACTTTCACTCCTTTCCGAACACACGACCTCTCGCAAACAATATAACCTCAGCAATCAAAGACTGGCACAATTAGCATTCAAAGAGACCAACCTTCCCATCGTTTCGGAACAGCAATCACCAAGTAGAAAATATAATTRCTCTCTTCACTCCAATCTGCTCCAAACTTTTCTGAACAGAAAAGAACAAAACGAAACAGAAAAGACTAGAACAAAACGAAGCCTTGTCTCTAGAAGAATCTCTCTCTACCACGGTGGCGTGCCAAAAAAAGACCCACAGACAAAAAAAGAACTCGCGAACGACATTCAGTCTTCCAAAATGGATGCCGCTATTCACAACTTTCGCATGCGACAGCAACGCCGTCCCTCGAATCTCTTGCATTGCATGGACAGAGACGGGAACATCGATGCCTTTCGGTACATTGAATACAGCAAGCGGCGACGCGTGGACTTTTTGAAACGCGCTAATTTTATTTGTACCATGAAGTCCTCTCTGCAGCAGCAGCGACAACAGCATCAGCAACGCCAGCAACAGCTATTACGCCAACAGCGCCCGTCGTCTCTCTCGGGAATGAACACCGTCATGCAGCCGGCAATGTCGATTCCGCCTGTCGTTCCATCTGTCTTGACGAAGCTCCCTGCGGACCTTGCTGCCTTCGGCAATGCCGCCGCTCCTTCTTCCGCCTTTGGTGGTGTTGGCATGAGCGGGTTGGCCTTTTCGAAGGTGCAAGGATCTGCGGCACGCCGTGTCAGCAACGCCGGTCACCGCCAGGATCACCAGTTTGTTTCGTCCCGTGCTTCTTCCATGCCCTTGCCCTTTGCATCGTCCTTTGCGATCAATAGCACGAACTACAACAACGCAAGAAGCGCCACGACGACGACGGCCAACAAGAGGAACATTGGCTCACGGATTGTTTCCGTCGAAAGCGACTGCAGTAGCAGCAATGCCAAACTCGGAAGCGCCGACGACAAGAAGAAAAAGACCAACAAGCGCATGGYCTCCTCCTCCATACCGAAAGTCATCTCGTCCCCGCCCTCTCCATCTCTTTACCAAGGACAGAGACAAGAAAATCGGCAACAAGGCCTTTCTTCGAAACCACACCGTCGGTTGGAAAAGGAAGAACTCGAAGCCGCAGAAGCTCTTTTGTTTGGAATGGGCCGCGACTGCAAAGTCAACAAAACCCCGGAAAATGCAGCAGCCGCCGCACAAGGCCGTTCTCTTGGAATCGACAAGCGAAACGTTGCCTCCGTTTCCGAATACGAGCAACAAGCCGGGGAAGAAGTGTCTAAAAAGCGAAAGATCGACCACTGTCACCATGGGCTTTGCACAACTGCTGCCACCGACGACGACGCGGAATCTTCGACGATCGTATCCGCAGAGGAAGAGACCAGCCTTGACAACAGCATCAACAGCATGACACAAAAGTGTGCAAAGTGTATCGCAAGAGAATTTGGGCGGTGAACGCATCGAATGGGGCCTTGAATGGAATGACGACGTCCGGTGGCTCACGTGCCCGCACTAACACACGGATACATAGATATGTAYATACACMAATGTAAAATATCATCCAACAGCATGATTCTATGGGTTGGAGTTTTTGTATGTCTTTGGGAATCCAACACCGCATAAAAATCGAAGAAGGAAGAACAAACGAAYGAATTGTAAACGATGGAAACCACAAGTGCTGTTCGCTTGGTCTTGTTTGCCAGCGAACGAAGTCGAAGTCGAATTTACTCTTTTTTTCTAGTATTTACTGGAAATAGGAAACTAGATGTACTTTTATAGATGTGGTTGGGATAGACAGCATTGAAATGCAATGATTTGTACGACTATATCWACCAAGAAATAGTATCGTGATTGTTTGAGAACTATGAATTGTAATGAATGGGTAACTACTGTACGAAGTATCGCAACGAACAAAGTAAAATACAACGGCAGTACTGGACTCCGCACTTTAGAATGACTACGGTCCTACCATGTGATTGAAACTTTGTGATTCGAAATAATAATGATCGAACGAAAAAAATACTGGTGCAATGTACCATCAATACTTCTAAAACGACAGGCAATGCAGTCGGTTTCGATTGTGACACCGCGAGCACGATTTGACAGCCTTTCGATCAATGTTTGACGAACGCCGTTGTCTCGTTAGGCCAATGACGCATAGGTTTTCATCTTTCAGATCGTTCGTATGGTACGATACGTGTTTGGCACCAAACGAATGAGTACTACMGCAATGTCATGACGTATTTTTGGACATRGTTCTAAAAACTACTTAGCAACTTATTTTGACAGTGATACTGTACTAATTCTTTTCGTTCCCGTTTTGGATTGAAGAGCGTGTCAACAATCAGCAACTGAACTTCAGCAACATCTCGTAACTTCGAAAAAGAGCAGAATACAGGTGAAGAGTACCATACGTACGTACCCTTTCGGGTCCGAAATACGACGTGACAGCTTTTTAACAGTAGGGATTTTACAGAGCTCTACCGGTACGTGTGGAACAATAGTCTTAATTCCGACCAGCATGGGCAACCTGTCAATTAGTTCCACGTAGAACCATAAAGGAACTATTTTATATCTCTGATACGATTCGCCGTTACGGAGGATGCTAGCTAATACTGAGGCTCACATACAAAGGCTGTTACGGAGGATGCTGTTACGGAGGATGATACTACGGAGGATGCTACTAATGGGTGATTCCCGTTAATCTAGATGGTCTACTTTTCGACGGACAGATGGACCAAAAATAGACTATCTAGTCCAAATTTTTAGACTTTCTGTCAACGCAGGAGCCTGGCTTGACAGAAAGTCTAAATCTAGACCGGAATCCAAGAAGAATGAAAATCCGTTGTAGGACTCAACTGAAAAGACCCGCCAAATTTAAGAGGACTGAAAGAATTTTTACTACGTAACTAAATCTTTTCTTGAGAATGAAGAAAGCGCCGGCGCCATCATGGTGGAAGACATAAAGACACCAGAAACAAAGATGTCCCCTGTCTTAGTCACTGCTCTATATGTTAGGCTGAAACAAAGAGAGGCGCAACTGCCGGAGGCCATGTATCAAGCAACGCGAGGGGAGGACATCCCTCACACAATATTCATTCCGATGTCGACTCGTACTGGTCCTTATGCAACCATTCCTCCTTACAATGGGGGACGCTTCCCTCCAGCAGCAGCAGCAGTCCCTCCCCCAGGAGGTCAATCAAAAGTAGAGGGGTCTGGTCGTAAGGCTGGTACTGCAAACTACTCAGAAGAAGAGCTCGTCTCATTGATGACTCTCATCAAGGAGATTCTTCCCATTGGTAAGGGAGACTGGCTCATGGTGGTTCACAGACATGGACAAGACTGGCCCTATGGAAGAACAAAGGATTCCATTAAAACCAAGTTCAATCGCTTGAGGAGAATGAAGGTGCCTACTGCTGGTGATCCCAACATCCCTGAGTCCGTACGGCTTGCAAGAGAGGCCCACAGGTTGATTGGGATCAAGGCAAACATTGGCAATGGAGAGGAGACCTTTGATCCAGTCAAAGGTTACATCGATGATGAGGATGATGAGGACTTGGAGAACGCTTTGAATCCAGGAGCAAAATCAAGCAAAAACACGGCATCAATGTCCGACTCAACTGCCATCATCGGCGATGACAAACAAGAACCCATTGTCGTGACAACAACACCAGCAAGAAAGAGATCTTATGGAAGGCTGAAGAAGGAAATTACTGAACAGGATGCTGTTCTTAAGGATTACCTCATGCAAAAGNCTGATACGATTCGCCGTTACGGAGGATGCTAGCTAATACTGAGGCTCACATACAAAGGCTGTTACGGAGGATGCTGTTACGGAGGATGATACTACAGAGGATGCTACTAATGGGTGATTCCTGTTAATCTAGATGGTCTACTTTTCGACGGACAGATGGACCAAAAATAGACAATCTAGTCCAAATTTTTAGACTTTCTGTCAACGCAGGAGCCTGGCTTGACAGAAAGTCTAAATCTAGACCGGAGTCCAAGAAGAAGAAGAATGAAAATCCGTTGTAGGACTCAACTGAAAAGACCTGCCAAATTTAAGAGGACTGAAAGAATTTTTACTACGTTACTAAATCTTTTCTTAAGAATGAAGAAAGCGCCGGCGCCATCATGGTGGAAGACATAAAGACACCAGAAACCAAGATGTCCCCTGTCTTAGTCACTGCTCTATATGTTAGGCTGAAACAAAGAGAGGCGCAACTGCTGGAGGCCGTGTATCAACAAGCAACGCGAGGGGAGGACATCCCTCACACAATATTCATTCCGATGTCGACTCATACTGGTCCTTATGCAACCATTCCTCCTTGCAATGGGGGACGCTTCCCTCCAGCAGCAGCAGTCCCTCCCCCGGGAGGTCAATCAAAAGTAGAGGGGTCTGGTCGTAAGGCTGGTACTGCAAACTACTCAGAAGAAGAGCTCATCTCATTGATGACTCTCATCAAGGAGATTCTTCCCATTGGTAAKGGAGACTGGCTCATGGTGGTTTGCAGACATGGACAAGACTGGCCCTACTATGGAAGAACAAAGGATTCCATTAAAACCAAGTTCAATCGCTTGAGGAGAATGAAGGTGCCTACTACTGCTGGTGATCCCAACATCCCTGAGTCCGTACGGCTTGCAAGAGAGGCCCACAGGTTGATTGGGATCAAGGCAAGCATTGGCAATGGAGAGGAGACCTTTGATCCAGTCAAAGGTTACATCAATGATGAGGATGATGAGGACTTGGAGAACGCTTTGAATCCAGGAGCAAAATCGAGCAAAAACACAGCGTCAACGTCCGACTCAACCGCCATCATCGGCGATGACAAACAAGAACCCATTGTCATGACAACAACACCAGCAAGAAAGAGATCTTATGGAAGGCTGAAGAAGGAAATTACTGAACAGGATGCTGTTCTTAAGGATTACCTCATGCAACAGGATAAGAGGGAAGCTGAAAGAGACAAGAAGGCTGATGAGAGGGAAGCTGAAAGAGTGAAACACGAAGACGCTAGAGATGAACATTGGCTTACCATGGCGGAAACCATTGCAATGGCGCTTGCTGGTAACATCAACAAGTGCCAGTGCGCAGGCACTGAATCCCATGGTGATAGCGACTAATTTCGATCTTCCGATTAGCTCACTTAAACAATGAAAGGATCAACACCGATTAGTCAGTAAACAGCAGCAAAAAGCAAAATAAAGCAAAATAATGAGCAGCAACTAAAGCAGAGCAGATTCTTGTTACCACGCGTTACGCCGTGTTGTTCCAAATTTTTGCCATGGTTTTCTGTGGTCCTAGTAGCAGCATCAGTTTTCTTGCATACCTCTCGTGGGAGTGATTGGTTTTCGTGCATACCCTTCATGGGAGTCAATGTAACTGGAATATACTGCAATGAAGACTAATATCTTCAGAGCCGGAATGTATAATGTAATGAAGATATATGATACAACCAATGCATGTGAGTGCCAATCAATGCATGCGTTTTGAAGGCGAACCCCAGTTCGTGGGATTGCATTACGCATGCTTGCTATGAATTCCGTTGAAATCCCAGTTCTAGTCCCGGTTTTCATTGTTACTATCAGCAAAATAGGAACAACACGGTGTAACTATCAGCAAAACAGGAGCAACATAGGAACAACACGGTGTAACGCGTGCTAATGAGGAGTCCTCAACCGTGCTCACTATTTCCTGTTAATACGAAACTAATGAATGATACAATCTGTTGTGAACTAAACATACCTCAACCAAACTAACCATCCCTGGCCCCACCATGGTGGAGTCTCAGTACTGTAAGTGTGTTTAATCGTTGCTGCGCTTGTTAATTGTTGCGTTGAAGGGGTTGTGTCAAAAGCTATCGTTGTTGCGTTGTTGCGTTGAATTGGGTTGTGTCGGACGCTATCGTTGTTGCGTTGAATCGGAACCAAAATCGGAACCGAATCGTTGTTGTGTTGAATTGACGCGTTGAATTAATCAGCCTTTGTTAATGAATCTAACATCCTCTTCTTTGACCATGAGAATTATTCACAGAATACATTGTTTCCAACTGGAGACACCTTCCTCCCTGCATGGAAGTACCCATCAGCCAATGCCTCAAGCGTATGAGGTGCCTCCATCACCTCGCGTGTCGGCGATGCCGGCGGCGTCTTCATGAAGACTGTCAAGATCTGGTTGTGCCCAATGGTACTGCATTGGTAGTTGTACAAGCAGATCATCAAGTGAATGATCACCTTCCTCTCCCCAAAGTCCTCCAATCTAAGCCTATCCTTCATCCTTGGGAACTGTCCTTGGATCATCCTCATTCCCCACTCGGACATCTGTCGAAGTGACGTGGCATCCCTATTCAATAGGAGGTCCCCCTCCTCTGGATCATTTTGATAGCTTTGAATCAGGTAGTCTCTGCCCAACAAGCCAAATGCTGAATCAACAACACACTTTGCTCCTCCAGCAAGAGCGCTGTCCACTTGGGCAAGCTTGTCGTANCTGATACGATTCGCCGTTACGGAGGATGCTAGCTAATACTGAGGCTCACATACAAAGGCTGTTACGGAGGATGCTGTTACGGAGGATGATACTACGGAGGATGCTACTAATGGGTGATTCCCGTTAATCTAGATGGTCTACTTTTCGACGGACAGATGGACCAAAAATAGACTATCTAGTCCAAATTTTTAGACTTTCTGTCAACGCAGGAGCCTGGCTTGACAGAAAGTCTAAATCTAGACCGGAATCCAAGAAGAATGAAAATCCGTTGTAGGACTCAACTGAAAAGACCCGCCAAATTTAAGAGGACTGAAAGAATTTTTACTACGTAACTAAATCTTTTCTTGAGAATGAAGAAAGCGCCGGCGCCATCATGGTGGAAGACATAAAGACACCAGAAACAAAGATGTCCCCTGTCTTAGTCACTGCTCTATATGTTAGGCTGAAACAAAGAGAGGCGCAACTGCCGGAGGCCATGTATCAAGCAACGCGAGGGGAGGACATCCCTCACACAATATTCATTCCGATGTCGACTCGTACTGGTCCTTATGCAACCATTCCTCCTTACAATGGGGGACGCTTCCCTCCAGCAGCAGCAGCAGTCCCTCCCCCAGGAGGTCAATCAAAAGTAGAGGGGTCTGGTCGTAAGGCTGGTACTGCAAACTACTCAGAAGAAGAGCTCGTCTCATTGATGACTCTCATCAAGGAGATTCTTCCCATTGGTAAGGGAGACTGGCTCATGGTGGTTCACAGACATGGACAAGACTGGCCCTATGGAAGAACAAAGGATTCCATTAAAACCAAGTTCAATCGCTTGAGGAGAATGAAGGTGCCTACTGCTGGTGATCCCAACATCCCTGAGTCCGTACGGCTTGCAAGAGAGGCCCACAGGTTGATTGGGATCAAGGCAAACATTGGCAATGGAGAGGAGACCTTTGATCCAGTCAAAGGTTACATCGATGATGAGGATGATGAGGACTTGGAGAACGCTTTGAATCCAGGAGCAAAATCAAGCAAAAACACGGCATCAATGTCCGACTCAACTGCCATCATCGGCGATGACAAACAAGAACCCATTGTCGTGACAACAACACCAGCAAGAAAGAGATCTTATGGAAGGCTGAAGAAGGAAATTACTGAACAGGATGCTGTTCTTAAGGATTACCTCATGCAAAAGGATAAGAGGGAAGCTGAAAGAGACAAGAACGCTGATGAGAGGGAAGCTGAAAGAGTGAAACGCGAAGACGCTAGAGATGAACATTGGCTTACCATGGCGGAAACCATTGCAATGGCGCTTGCTGGTAACATCAACAAGCGCCAGCGCGCAGGCACTGAATCMCATGGTGATAGCGACTAATTTTGATCTTCCGATTAGCTCACTTAAACAATTAAAGGACCAACGCCGATTAGTTAGTAAACAGCAGCAAAAAGCAAAATAAAGCAAAATAATGAGCAGCGACTAAAGCAGAGCAGATTCTTGTTACCTTGCGTTACTCCGTGTTGTTCCAAATTTTTGCCGTGGTTTTCCGTGGTCCTAGTAGCAGCATCGGTTTTCTTGCATACCTTTCATGGGAGTGATTGGTTTTCGTGCATACCCTTCATGGGAGTCGATGTAACTGGAATATACTGCAATGAAGACTATTATCTTCAGAGCTGGAATATATAATGTAATGAAGATATACGATACAACCAATGCATGTGAGTGCCGATCAATGCATGTGTCTTGAAGGCGAACCCCCGGTTTGCTATGAATTCCGTTGAAATCCCGGTTCTAGTCTCGGTTTTCATTGTTACTATCAGCAAAATAGGAACGACACGGTGTAACTATCAGCAAAACAGGAGCAACATAGGAACAACACAGTGTAACGTGTGCTAATGAGGAGTCCTCAACCGTGCTCACTATTTCCTGTTAATACAAAACTAATGAATGATACAATCTGTCGTGAACTAAACAGACCTCAACCAAACTAACCATCCCTGGCCCCACCATGGTGGAGTCTCAGTACTGTAAGTGTGTTTAATTGTTGCTGCGCTTGTTAATTGTTGCGTTGAAGGGGTTGTGTCAAACGCGATCATTGTTGTGTTGTTGCGTTGAATCGGAACCAAAATCGGAACCGAATCGTTGTTGTGTTGAATTGACGCGTTGAATTAATCAGCCTTTAATGAATCTAACATCCTCTTCTTTGACCATGGGAATTATTCACAGAATACATTGTTTCCAACTGGAGACACCTTCCTCCCTGCATGGAAGTACCCATCAGCCAAGGCCTCAAGCGTATGAGGTGCCTCCATCACCTCGCGTGTCGGCGATGCCGGTGGCGTCTTCATGAAGACTGTCAAGATCTGGTTGTGCCCAATGGTACTGCATTGGTAGTTGTACAAGCAGATCATCAAGTGAATGATCACCTTCCTCTCCCCAAAGTCCTCCAATCTAAGCCTATCCTTCATCCTTGGGAACTGTCCTTGGATCATCCTCATTCCCCACTCGGACATCTGTCAAAGTGAAGTGGCGTCCCTATTCAATAGGAGGTCCCCCTCCTCTGGATCATTTTGGGAGCTTTGAATCAGATAGTCTCTGCCCAACAAGCCAAATGCTGAATCAACAACACACTTTGCTCCTCCAGCAAGAGCGCTGTCCACTTGGGCAAGCTTGTCGTAGACTCCATAGTCACTGATSGAGCTGTCATGCCACGTGCCAGGGCAATTGAAGACTCCAATGCRAATCCTACCATCAGGCGCAAAGACAAACAYCCCATTCACGTAAGTATTTGCCTTCCATCCATTGAAGAAGATCTCTTGTTTAAGCCAGTCCTCTGAGGTCTGGATCTCTGTCTTGAGCCCATCTGCTGCTGCCCACACGCGTTGTTCTCCAAGTCTTGGATATTTTGCTCCAATTKCCCTAACATACTCATTGATTTCTTGCTCACTTGGCAGACTGACCATGGCAAGTGGRTGTTTGTGAAGCACTGAAAGGAGGATCCTCATGGAAAACTTGAGCCATTTGTACATTACAGTTGATGTAAGACCAAACGCCATTGCTATTCCTCTTGCAACAGATCCTCTAGTCCTGTACCAGAAGAGCACTAGTCCAAGACAACAAGTCGCGTCAGCCTCTCTTGGCTTCCCCTTCTTTTTTCCATTGCCAGTGGGAAGAAGAACAATTTCATTGTTCCTGTTGACTGAGTATCTATTGAAAGCTGGAGCAAACAGCTCAAGGAGATCCCTGAAGACCCTGTGGTCTACACCACAGCAGTTGAGGAGGGCTTGGTCACAACCAGACTGGAAGAGGAACAGGAATGGGGAGTCTGCGTATCTCCTAATTGCAATCCTAGGTGTTCTTCTGTCCCTCCTGTGTCTCTCCTCTGGTGTCTTCTGTTGTTCTTCCCATTCCTCTACCAAGSGTCCTCTATGCTTGATTGCCCAGTATATGCAAAGGGTCTCGATGACACCCATTGTTTTGCTGGAAGACAACTGCTGTCTTTTGTTTAGGAAAAGCTCTATTTATGAGTGAGTTACAAGTTACTGTAGAAATTTCGTGTTATCAAAAATTTCATGTTTTACCTAGTACCGGCGCGTTTCCAATCTTATTAGTCATTTGGTCATTGTCGTTGGTAGGATTCCGAATTCCTTAAAAGTATAAGAGTGCCAAAAATTCTGTCCGTTGGGGTCCTGTTTTTAATGATTCCTGTTAAACTAAAAAGTCTAAAAGGTCTACTTTAGACTTTTAGACCATCTAGATTAACGGGAATCACCCAATAAGGAGGACACGGAGGAGCCAGGATGCTGAAACTATGGAGAATGCTTGCTGATATGGAGGCTCGTTGATACAGAGGACGCTACTACTACTAGCTATGGAGGATGCTGATTTTTTGTCGTCAATTTTTTGCTGCTGCTATTAGTAGTAGTAGTATAGTGCTGCTCCTCCAAAACCACTCAGTTGATCGATCTGCAACTTCCAGATCCTCTTCCCCTTAATGTAAGGATTAGAACACATGTCTTGTGAGTGCAATTCGATTGGTTGGATATTGATGAAGAACTAAAGAGGTGACAGCTTGCTAGTATGCTGGAGGTTGTTTTATGAGTTTTTTTTTGGTGCGCAGAGAAATCAACAAGCCAGAAAAGATTCTCTGGCAAGAAACAGATACAATATGCACATGTATCAAACAGCAAGAGAAAANGCTGTCATGCCACGTGCCAGGGCAATTGAAGACTCCAATGCAAATCCTACCATCAGGCGCAAAGACAAACACCCCATTCACGTAAGTATTTGCCTTCCATCCATTGWARAAGAYCTCTTGTTTRARCCAGTCCTCTGAGGTCTGGATCTCTGTCTTGAGCCCATCTGCTGCTGCCCAGACGCATTGCTCTCCAAGTCTTGGATATTTTGCTCCAATTGCCCTAACATACTCATTGGTTTCTTGCTCATTTGGCAGACTGACCATGGCAAGTGGATGGTTGTGGAGCACTGATAAGAGGATCCTAACGGAGAACTTGAGCCATTTGTACATTACAGTTGATGTAAGACCAAATGTCATAGCTATTCCCCTTGCAACAGATCCTCTAGTCCTGTACCAGAAGAGCATTAGTCCAAGACAACAAGTCGTGTCAGCCTCTCTTGGCTTCCCCTTCTTTTTTCCATTGCCAGTGGGTGGAAGAAGAACAATTTCATTGTTTCTGTCGACTGAGTATCTGTTGAAAGCTGGAGCAAACAGCTCAAGGAGATCCCTGAAGACCCTGTGGTCTACACCACAGCAGTTGAGGAGCGCTTGGTCACAACCAGACTGGAAGAGGAACAGGAATGGCGAGTCTGCATATCTCCTAATTGCAAGCTGGGGGGTTCTCCTGTCCCTCCTGCGTCTCTCTTCTGGAGTCTTTTGTTTGTCTTCCCACTCCTCTACCAAGCGTCCTCTATGCTTGATTGCCCAGTATATGCAAAGGGTCTTGATGACACCCATTTTTTTGCTGGAAGACAACTACTGTCTTTTGTTTAGGAAAAGCTCTATTTATGAGTGAGTTATGAGTTACTGTAGAAATTTTGTGTTATCGAAAATTTCATGTTTTACCTAGTACCGGCGCGTTTCCAATCTTATTAGTCATTTGGTCATTGCCGTTGGTAGGATTCTGAATTCCTTAAAAGTATAAGAGCGCCAAAAATTCTGTCCATTGGGGTCCTGTTTTTAATGATTCCTGTTAAACTAAAAAATCTAAAAGGTCTACTTTAGACTTTAAGACCATCTAGATTAACGGGGATCACCCAATAAGGAGGACACAGAGGAGCCAGGATGCTGAAACTATGGAGAATGCTTGCTGATATGGAGGCTCGTTGATACAGAGGACGCTACTACTACTAGCTACAGAGGATGCTGATTTTTTGTCGTCAATTTTTTGCTGCTGCTATTAGTAGTATAGTGCTGCTCCTCCAAAACCACTCAGTTGATCGATCTGCAACTTCCAGATCCTCTTCCCCTTAATGTAAGGATTAGAACACTTGTCTTGTGAGCGCGATTCAATTGGTTGGATATTGATGAAGAACTAAAGAGGTGACAGCTTGCTAGTATGCTGGAGGTTGTGTTAATGAGTTTTTTTTTTGGTGCGCAGAGAAATCAACAAGCCAGAAAAGATTCTCTGGCAAGAAACAGATACAATATGCACATGTATCAAACAGCAAGAGAAAACCCTTTCCGACTGACAGATTCTCTAATTCTGATTGGTGCTTTTCTAGCATTAACAGACAAGCAAAGATAGCTAAAAATTTGGGCATTTTATGTACTCATAACCTGTTAGAAATCAATAGTCTTAATTYGAACTCAAACAAGTTCCATTAGGTACCCGTACGAGGTTGTGGTGCCTTGTATYGCATCCGATTTACAACAGGCTGTTTTTAGTAGTGAGCTAAAAAAGCTTTGCTTGCTTGTCAATGCTAGCAAAGCATCAATCAGAGCTCAAGAATCCATKAGTCCAAAACAGCTTTCTTTCCTCTTGCCATACACGATACACGTGCATATTGGTTTATTTTGCCAGAGAACTTTTTTGGGCTAGTTGATTTCTCTGCCCAAGAAAAATGCAATAYTTCACATTAAAACAGCAGCAGCCTCCAGCATAGTAGGGACCTGTCTCCTCCAGTTCAACACCTTAGTAACCTCCACCAACAATGCAACCTATACAGGATCTCTTAAAAATAACAAGGGGAAGGGGATCTGGAAGTTGTGGATCGATCGACCAAGTGGTTTAAAAGAAAGAGTAGATCTAAGCAACAGGAGTGAAATCCACAAAAAATTGCAAAAAAGAAGCTGCAGTGCAACCAGCAAAACAAGCATATTGCTTGCTCYGTCTGAATACAACAACAAGCACTTCATTGCATTCATTAGATWTGCTTGTGTTTGAATGGATGRCAAAGAGGGTGAGGGTGAACTTGTTTTCCTTCCAAACCAGTTGAATTGCACCATCGTGAATC